TCTCCCGAGTGCTGGGACCAAAGCCATGCGCCACCACCGCCCGGCTCAATAAGTTATTTTCTAGTTCCATCCATTAACCTGTAAGATTCATGACTTCACTTTTCCTTACAGATGAATAATATTCTATAGTATATATGTTTAACATCTTCATTATATATTGGACAGTTGAAGGACATCTAGACTGTTTCCATTTCCCAGGTACTGTGAATAGAACAGCAATGGACATGGCTGAGCAAGTATCTGTGGAGTAGGATGTTGAGTCCTTTGGGCTTATGACAAATGTGGAGTAGTGCTTTTTTTTTTTCTTTTGGGGACCCACCACCTATCTCCCAAATAAATCACACACAGAGTCTTATTCTTCCTTATAAATGTCCAGCCTTAGCTTGACTTGTTTCTAGCCAGCTCTTCTTAAATTAACCCATCTACCTTTTGCCTCTGGGCTTTTATTTTTCTCTTCTGTAAATCTTTCACTCTTAATCCATGGTTGGCCCCTACTGTCTTCCTCTCCTTGTTCTATCTTGCTCCTCCCTCTCAGATTTCTCCTATTTATTCTCTCTGCCTTCCAGCCCCCACCTATCCTTTCTCCTGCCTCACTATTGTCAGTTCAGCTCTTTATTAAACCATCAGGTGTTTTAGACAGGCAAAGAATCACAGCTTCACAGAGTTAAATGAAGCATAAACAAAAGCAATACATATTTACATCATTAGACAGGAGTTCTAGAGAATAAACAACTGTAACACACCTTAAAATAATGTTCTAGAACAGGGTAGGATGTTGAGTCCTTTGGGAATATGCCAATAAGTGTAAAAGTAAATTAACTTTATAGCTTTTGAGAATTCTCCACACTGATTTCCATAGTGGCTGCACCAGATTACAATCCTGACAGTGAATTAAGATTCCCTTTACCCACCACCACCACCAGCATTTGTTGTCCATTGTTTGGTTGATGTTTGATTTGTTGTTCATGTTTTGTTTAATCATACTGGGTAATCATGTTTTGTTTAATCATACTGGGTAAGACAGAATCTCCAGGTTGTTTTGATTTGCATTTCCCTAATTGTTAGGGACAATGGACACATTTGAGTATTTTTTAGCCATTTTCTTCTTTTGAGAACGCTCTGTTCAGATTTCAAGACCACTTTTGGAATGGGTCCTTCTTATTTTTTGACTCTTTGTTTCTGAGTTCTTTATATATTCTGGATATTATTACTCTCTCAGATGTAGAGCATGCAAAGATTCTTTCCATTCCATGGGCTTCTTCTTCATCAGACTGTTTCTTTACCTGTGATAAAGTTTCATGATGTTCCACTTGTCAATTGCTGACCTTAATTATTGAGCAAATAGAGTTATATTCAGGAAGTCTTTTTCTACTCCTTTATCACAGAGTGCACTGCCTATGTTTTCTTCTACCAGTTTCCGTATTGCAAGTTTCATATTGAAGTCTTTGATCCATTTGGAGTTATGTTTGTACAATGGTGATAGATACATGCAGCTTTCTCTAGCATCTGTTAAAAATGTTTGCTCTTCTCCAGCTTTTGCTCTTGGCATCTTTGTCAAATTCTAAGTGGCTGAAGTTACATGTACCCATGTACATGTACCCGTGTTTTCTTTGATTTTGTTCCATTGGCTAACATGTCTGTTTTTTGTGCCATAACATATTGTTTTATTGTCATGGCTCTATAAAATATCTTAAGATGTGGTCAATCAAAATCCATACCTCAGTCTTAACTACAAAAGACAACAGATAAGCTGGGTGGTGGTGGTGCATGCCTTTAATCCCAGCAGTGGGGAGGCAGAGACAGGCAGATCTCTGTGAGTTCGAAGCCAGCCTGGTCCAGAAAGGCTGAGATACAGGGGGCATATCTCAATCAGGAACAAGACAAGGATGTTTACTCTCTCCATTTCTATTCAATACAGAACTTGAAGTCTTAGCCTGAGCAATAAGACAACTGAAGGAGATCAAGAGGATACTAATAGGAAAGGAAGAAGTCAAAGTAACTTTATTTGCAGAACAGACACACACACACACACACACACACACACACACACACACACACTCCAGGATAGCTAAAACAATCATGAATAATAATAGAGCATCCCTGATCTTAAGTGGTACTACAGAGCTTTAGTAATAAAAAACAGCTTAGTATAGGCATAAAAGCAGACAGGTTGATCAACAGAATAGAATTGAGGACCCAGACATAAGTCTGCTCACCTATGGACACCTGATTTTTGACAAAGAAGCCAGAAATGCACACTGGGAGTGTGGTTTGGGGGCAGCATCTTTAACAAATAGGGCTAGTCCAATTAAATAGCTGTACACAGAGGAATGAAATTGATCCATATTTATTACCCTGTATAAAACAAAACTCAGATGTGATGGTGATAGTTACTATGACCATGGCATCACCCCAACATGTACCCCAAGTCTACAAATGCAGGAAGGCAGGCTGGGAACCCCAGATTTCAGAACATGTTAAGTGTATTAAGTTTAGAGGCACTTGGGTGACAGTACTGAACTCTAGATTCACATTCTTCCTCTGACAGTTTCTTTTTCTCCTTTCTTCCTTTCTTCTTTCTCTTCTTCTCCTCCTCCTTCCTTCCTTTTCTTCCCCTCCTCTTTTCTCCCTTCTTCTTTATCATCATCATCCATCAATTTCCAGATGCTTTAAAAATAGTAATGAAGAGATCTTGAGTTCTAGCTTTGGACTGGGGTGTTGTTTGGTCAGAGACATCCAGTGACCCTCAATTGCACTGTCTTGCCAGGGACAGGCACTGCTACTGAATAGGAGGGCCCAGCACTGCCCTTGGAGGACAGCACTTTCCACTGGAGCACACTGGATTGTAAACTGTGAGGCCAGAGTGATGGGGTTGGTGAAGACAGCTATCTCCCAGGCGGCTAGTTCAAGAATGCTGACACTTGGCTCCCTGTCAGTGAAAATAGAATGTATGCACAAAGCTTTTACCAGCATTGTGAGGACCAGAAGCACAAAATGAGAGATGGGACCTGCAACACGTCACAGCTAGTCATTCCTGTAGCCACTGCATCTTTTCTATGCTCAGTGACTACAGCTGGTCAAGGTTGGACCACAGGAGCCACGGAGGCTCTGCCACTACTGTATCCTGAAGAATCCACCTACAAAGGATATTTCTCTACAAAATCCTGCTCCTGAGCTTTCCTCCTGACACCAGGGTGGATTATGGGACAGCTTTCTCCACCAACTTTCTGTTTCTACATTTCAAATTTTCAATGTAGGAATTAGTTGGGTTTTGCTGGCACTGGGCTCAAACCAGGGGTCTTGTACATGTTAGGCAAGAGCTCCATCCAAGTTACACCCTCTTGGCCCATTTTATTATGCTGAAAAGATATAATAGCCATTTCTACTTTAGGGGAAAAATGTTAAATTTCCATCAATCTTATTTTCATTTTAATCCTTGGATGGACTCCTTTACATTTGTTTATTCATCTATTTGAATGGAAGAAAGGCAATGCTGGGATTTCTCAGTGTTACTTATCCTTCTCACATTCTATCCTGTAATTTCAGTTGTTGTCATTGTCTTCACACAAAGGACAAGAGCAAACAGCAGACATCTCGCCATAGAATGACCCCGAACAATGGTGCCCCCGCCCGGCCCAAACCCAGTTCCTACTCCACCAGTCCCAAACCAGTTTGCATATACACCCTGGGAGGGAAAAAGAACCAGCAGGCCACTCAACTTTGTGTGTGTGCTCCAAAGAAAGACAGAATTGTGTTGTATGCAAATAAACCTTTCATAACTCAGGAACTTTCAGTACACTGGGGAATTTGACTTTGGAAATCCCTTTTTGCTTTATTTCATTTGTGCTGGAGATTAAACCTAGGGCCCTGTGGGTACCAGGAAGGTGATCTACCATGCCAGCCCCCTGACATGGGTATTTAAAGGCCCCAATCTCCCCATATCTTTTAATTAGGTAATGTTTTTCTACTTAAATAAAATGGTTGGATTTAGTCTACCCTAAATTTCCTTAAAGTGAAAGTCACCTTTATTAGTCCCAGTTCCATATTCAATTAGCACAATAGTTTAGAGATCTATTTTATGACATGCCAATTTCAAAATGCCATTAAAATTGAAATTACCATTAATTAATTAATTGATTTTTTCATTTATTTTTTACATTCCACCATTAATACAAAGGTAATCCCATCATAACTCTTCACCTTATCAAGAATATCAGAAATGGGAAGATGCTGAAATTCAGCCTGAGGCCTAAGGAAGGAAGCCTTTCAGGGAAGCTTGCTAAATCCTCCCTGCAGTGAGCAACAGCATTCTTCACCTTGCTTGGTACACAGAAGCTCCTGGCGTGGACTATGACGTCCTGTAGAGTGCGCTAGAGACCACAGCATGCAGGAATGCCCAAGGACTGGCCATCTAACCGTGTCATCATGCTGAGTCACAACACATGAATGTTGGCACTGAGATACAGATACTGAGAGGAAGACCTGGACCTTTGGTGAAGGATTATGTCATTGGCCTATCTCTGGTAACACTTTCCACTCTTCATGGTGTCCTGGTTTGGATGACAAATTATATACCATTAGGCCCTGGTCTTGGTTTTTCCACTGTTTTCTATCCCACTCTTTCAAGATAAGGATCCCAAAGTATATCCTTGCTGATTACTGCATGTGTTGCAGGGAGTCAAAGCCCATCAGTCAACGGATTAGGGCAGTGACTTCAACAAAGGCCCCTCAGCAGTCCTGCATGCCAGGCAGCCTTCAGCAGAGGGGTTCTGACCAAGACAAGGCAGTAGGGTTCCCACTACCTCATGTCTCCACTGCTAGAATCCTATTATTCTCTGTCCCTCTGAAGAAGTCCTCACTAGTCAGACAGCATGAACCGGCCATGCAGACAGAGCAAGCCACAGGCAACTCGTGGATGAAAAGATGCAGCTTTATCCTCAGGCTTCACGGAAAGTTTCTGTAAAGGGAACTGTTTTCCAGCCATAAAAGATTCCTGACTCTTCGAACATCTAAAAAGTTATTTATTTATTCATTTATTTGTACAATTACATAAATACTTTCATGTCTACATGTGAGCATGATGCCTCTGTTCTTAGGTTTTAAAAAAATCAATACAATTAGAGTCTTTAGAAAATGATTACCTTATTCCAAAGTAAGAAAAATTCCAAAATGAAGCTATAGACAGAATGGGTGGACACAGTGGGAAGAGGATCCTGGAGAAGGGGGTGGAGGGGCTGGAAACAAAGAACACAAAAAATCCCTGTACTTGGGATTTTAGAAGATAAACACAGCAGAAACTACGAATGTGCAAAACGGACACTAACCATCCAGAGTGAAGGTTAGTAACCCCACTGCATTCTAAGTTGATACAACTAATATACCTCCTGGCACATCTGCTCCTCCAGAGATGAGGACCTTTGTCTAGTTTACTCTGACCAAGCAAATTGATAGTTAAGATGGCAGCAGAAAAGCCTTCAGGCCCAACTAACTGCACACTGGCTGTAAGTTCTTGGGAAGACACTAAGCCCCTTTGAATCTGTTTCTTAGTTTTTAAACTCTACTACTTTGTTATTTGCGAAGGAGGGGGGTGGTTGTTAATCTACAAAAAGTACTAACTGCCCCTGGCAATAAGTGACATTCAATAAAGGAAATATTTTTTTGTGTGTCACAAGTGAGAGTAATCTGATTCTGCCAGTCTGTTCCAGGTAGTTCAGCCATCAGTTAAGCTGGAACCATTCCTGCCCTCTGATGCCACCTGCTCACCAATAGTCACTGATGACAAACACACTTTTTACTGGGAAGCTGTGGATATCCCTCTATTAGATATCCCCTCAGCAGCAGACAGCTCTCAAGAGAACTTCACTATCTTCTGATGGCACACACCCTAGGCATTTGTGACAAACTCCACTGGACCCCACTAGGTGGCAGGAAGGTTCCCTTATACATGCATACCCCAAGGGGCACTGCTTTAAGCACCACAGGTCGAGGCAGGGCCATATAGGGTATGCTGGGTGGCAAGGAACCCACAGGAAAATGTACTCTGGCTTCCCTCCAGCTGTTTGGGAGCAGCAGGTGCAAATCTGCAAAAGTGGCTCCAAGCAGAAACAGAACTCTCTGTCTCTGTAAAGAGGGACACCAGGAAGCTTTTGGGTTGGGGTGCAAATCAGGGAGCCACCTTTGGGCAGCAAATGCAAGAACCAGAGAGTATGGCCCACTACAGGAAATCTGTCCTCAGAAGATAGAGGGCAAGCACATCAAGGATGCCAGCTACACAAGGCAGAAAACAACAGGCACATCTGAGGTACCTATAGGCTCACATCGTCCATGTGTGCCACGTAACTCCAAGCTTTCTAGGAGCTCTTGGTATGGGGAAGATCTGGATGGAGCTCTCTGTGTGGAAAAGCACTGGATGGTATGTCTCCAGGGGGCTTGGCTTGGCTAGGCTTTTGATGGTTCCTCGTTTCACACAGTCATGAAAATATAGTAGGCAGAGCTCTATGAAGAGCGCTGGCTTCCTCTCCAGTACTATAATCCAAACAGGGTTTGAGCTTGCTCACGTGGAAAACAGGGAGAACAGTGCACCTTACCCATCTTAGCAGGCTTCTGAGAGAGCAGTCCTACCCAGTCTCTGCAGACATACCAGGTAAGTTCCCACGTACTGCAGGAAGGCTAGCAGGACGTTCAGGGCTCGTGATAAGTTTCACTCTCCACAATCCTCTTGTTGGAGCTGCATCTGCTGGCTTAACCATATTGAGTGGATGCAGGCTCACCTAGAAAGAGCACCTTGGCCTGCCTAAGGCTGCCACTGGAGCTCTCAGATGCACTGCTCTTCATCCCTGTCACTCAGAAGCAGAGACCATTTGTCCCCATTGTCATCTGCTGTGCCACCATGCCGAGACAGTCTGTCTGATGTCAGGGAGGACAGAGACACTTGGCTCACAAAGCTGACCTGGTCCCACGACGTGGCCCTAGGAGAATCCCACCGACGATCATCCATACCAACGTGCACACTAACCTGGGATGCACTCAGGGGCTTCATGCGGCCATGGGCCTGTGCCTCATATCTCTCCAGGTCAGGCTTTCGATAGCTGGAAGGCAAGAATCCCAGGGTACTTGAATCAATCACTCAGGACATAAGCCTCTTTTTCTCAGGTAGAATCTACATTTTACAGTAATACTTAGCAAAATTTCAAGAGTTTTGAAGGGAACAAACCCTGAATTCCCATGTTTCTGGTCCAGAAACTTTCTTTGTAAATATCCTCACATAGTAGGCTGTCATTCACTCTTGTTAAATGAATGAATGAGTGAATGAATAAGTAAGTCAGTGTTTTACTTTTTTGGCAGTGCTAGGGACTGAACCCAGGGTCTCCCATATGCTAGACAGGTGCTCCACTAGTGAGTGGTATCCCTAGTCCCTGAGCACCTTTGTTAAGGAGAAAAAAAAAAAATGCTAATACACAGGGATCATGTGCTTACATGTGTTCATATAAATAGCTCCTGAGCATATGAGAAAGGCCAAGCCTATGGCAACTGGTAAATGGGCAGTTTCTTGTCTAGGGTGCTGAAAAGTCATTACAGAAACCCACTCAGATCCTTTGTGTTGCCCCCAGATAAATAATGGGGAACAAGCACCAGGAAGCATGCTGGCGTGCCCCCAATTGCTGTGAACATATACAGTGGAGCCTGCAGGGACCCCAGTAGGTGCTCCAGGCCCAGGACTCACCACTTGAGCTGAAGAGAGGAGAGCACCACAGACACAGAGGAAGCTGCCATGGCCGCTGAGCCCATCCATGGCTGCAGCACGATGCCAATGGGCATGAAGACACCTGCACAAAAATAAGTAAATAAATAAATAAATAAATAATAAAAGTCAAGTGTCACCTAACAGCCAGAGAACACTGAGAGCCTTCCTCAAGAACTTAAGAGATACGATGACCACCAGCTTCCAAGGTCAGACAGTCTTCCAAAGTTTGCAGACGATGTTGTAAAGGGAAGATGAGTCTCTCTTGTATCCTGATTAGAACTATATATTGGCAGCACCACCCAGCTCAGGGGTTGGGAACCACAGGGACTAAACACTGTGGATGGTCATAGTCCTTGTCTATAAAGATAACAATCTGGTCTCTAGGGAGGTCTGGAAGCCAGGTCCTTAGACTCCCTCACAGGAGTCTAAGAAGGGAATGAAGTTCCTGAGTCAGCGCTGGAGACAAAAAGACACTTGTCTGGCTTCTAGGCCTGAGAGGCTAAGGCAGACTGGATAATTTCTATTATGGAAGTCACCACTAGCCACTTAGACACAAAAGAGAAACTGAGGCAGGAAAGCTGTGCTTAAGAACTTTAGAACAGAAGACTGAATCGGTCCCTGAGGGCCCTGGGATCCTGACACTGCTGAGTTTGCTGGGCTATTCCGGCCCCCACAGAGTGCAGAATCCAGAGGTGAGCTGATTCGGCCCCTAACTTGGGCCCAACTTCTGCCTGCCTGCCCTGGCAAATCCCGCCCCGGGATCTGCAGGCAGACTGAATCGGTCCCTGAGGGCCCTGGGATCCTGACACTTCTGAGTTCGCTGGGATATTCTGGCCCCCACAGAGTGCAGAGAGTGCAGAGGGGAGCTGCTTCAGCCTTTGCCTTGGGCCCAACTTCCATCTGCCTACCCTTGCAAACCCTACCCAGGGATCTTCGACAGGACGACTCAACCCATGAGGACCAAGCAATCCAGAGTCTGCTGACATCTCTGCACCAGTGCTGCCCTCACCCACCTGGAGAGCGAGTGCCTCAGACCTGCCTGCACCCAACTTGAAACCCATCAGAGTATCAAAGTCAATTGCACACACCTGAAGAGAACACCAGACCCATACACTCCAGGAAAGGAAGTGACAACAACTGTACCCACTGGAACAAGAGATGGGAAGATGACAATATAAGAACACATCCAACAACAGGAAAATCAATATGACACCACCAGAGTCTAGGGACTCTACACCAGCAAGACATGAACATCCCAACACAGAAGAAGCAGAAGAGAACAACCTTAAAAACAACTTCATGGAGATGATAGAGAACCTAAATGAGGAAATCAGAAAATCCTTCAGAGAAATGGAAGAAAAGACAAACCAAAAGATGCAAGAAATCAAGGAAAGCCAAAAAAGCCAAGAAAATACAATTAAATAGCTGAAGGAAACAGTTCAGGACCTGAAAACTGAATTAGGGACAATAAAGAAAACACAAACTGAGGGAATG